TTCCGGTTCTAAGATTTTACAAACCTTAACCGCAACCTTATAAGGTTCCGGTTCGCACAGTCACGGTTCCGGTTCGAACCGAACCGTGGTCATCTCTAGCCTAAACGGTCCCGAGGCCCTCAGCACGGACTCCAGGGGCTGATTTGTCAAGACATGGACGGGATGAGCCTGAAAATAGTGATGTAGTTTCTTCGCGGTCACGTCCACTCCGAATATGGCATTTTCTGTGGGGGAGTACCTGAGTTCGGCTCCTCGGAGGGCTCTACTCGCATAGTAGACGGGGCGTTGTATGCCCGCGTCATCCCGGACCAACATGGAGCTGATCGCGGCCTGTGATATGCCCAAGTACAGGTATAAGGGCTCCCCTCTCTTGGTTTGGCCAGCGGGGGTAGTGACATCAGGTAGGCCTTGAGGTCGTCAAAGGCCTTCTGGCAGTCAGGGGACCACTCGAACCCAGTACTCTTCCCGAGGGCCGCTAGCCTGCCATTTAGGCGTTGGACCTCCCGGAGAGACCTTGGAGGCTCCATGTCCAGGATGGCCCTAACCTTGTCGGGGTTGGGCTCGATACCCCTCTTTGAGACCATGTAGCCCAAGAATTCCCCCCCATGCACCCCAAAAGTGCACTTCTTGGGATTCAACCTTAAATCAAAACGCGACATAATGGAAAATACCTCGACGAGGTCGCCGACGTGGTCCTCTACCTTCGCGCATTTGACTATCATGTCGTCCACGTAGGCCTCCATGTTGCTGCCCAGGACCTGTTTGAAGACCTTTGCCACCATCCGCGTGTAGGTAGCCCCGGAGTTATTGAGCCCAAAGGCCATGACTCGATAGCAGAAGACTCCTTCGGGGGTCGTGAAGGCCGTCTTCTCCTCGTCGTCTTCGTGCATAAAGATCTGGTGGTACCCCCGAAAGGCGTCCAGGAAGCTCATGAGGGCGCAGCCTGTCGTCTCGTCTACCAGCTGATCAATATTTGGCAGTGGGAAAGGGTCCATGGGGCAGGCCTCGTTGAGGTCGGTGTAGTCCACGCACATCCTCCAGGTGGGTGGTTTTGGGGCGAGGACTACATTGGCTAGCCATCTGGGGTATAGGACCTCCCGTATGTGCCCGATCTCGATGAGGGTGTTAACCTCATTTCTCACGAACTCCCTCCTCTCCGCGGAGAGGTATCTCTTGCGTTGTTGCACTGGCTTGATCGTGGGGTCGACGGTGAGCTTATGGGTGATGACGTCCCTACTGAGTCCCGGCATGTCCTCGGGTCCCCACGCGAACACCTCCTTGTAGGTTCTGATGGCGTCAATGATGCTGGACCGAAGCTCGGCGGGGAGTCCGGTTCCCACCTTCACCGCGCGATCAGGGCGGCTGAGGTCGAGGACGACCTCTTCGGTCTCTACTACGGGCTCGGCTCGCGGGCGCCCCCCTTCCTCCTTTAGCACATTTTCAGCCATGGTGTGTACCTGGAGATCCCATTTGCCTATCTGTCTGCACGCCCGAAGGTAGCAGCTCCGGCTGATTCTTTGGTATCCTCGGGCGACCCCGACCCCAGTTGGTGTAGGGAACTTGAGGCACAGGTGTTCCATGGAGATCACGCACCTGAGGTCCTCAAGGGCAGGTCGGCATAGGATCACATTGTGGGTGCAACTGATTTTAACCACCACGAATTCTACCTCCCACCTCTTGGTGTGAGGCGGGGCGCCTATCTCGACCGTGAGGTTGATTGACCCTTCTGTCTCTATGGAGTCCCCCGTGAACTCGGATAAGGGGGTCCTCACTTGCCCCAATTGCTTCCTCGATAGCCCCAACTGGGTGAATGTGTCGTTGTACATCACATTCACCGAACTGCCTGCGTCCACTAATACTCTATGCACGACCACCTCATTGATCTCCATCTTGACCACCAAGGCATCCCGGTGGGGGGAGGGGGTCGTTTGGAAGGTCGTCGTCGGTGAAGGTGATGGGCTCCCTCCGGGGCCTCTTCTCGTGTGGGGGTCGTACGACCTCGCCCACATAGAGGCTTCGCGCCCATTTCTTCCTCTCTGCGGGCGTGTCCCCCCGCCCCCCCTCTGGTTTCCCGAAGATCACATGGATGGCTTGTTTCTTCTGGGGTTGGGGGTTGTCTAGCTCTCTTTCTTCCTTGTCAGTGAGCTGGCCGAGCTCCCTCTTGTGCGGCGAGGAGGTGGAGGGCTCGGAGCTGCCTCCCTTCCTCCACACGCGGCCTTGATGCTGCCCTTGGCCCTGTCCAGGCTATTGCACGAACTGACCCAAGTAGCCTCTCTGGATGAGCTCCTCGATCTGGCATTTGAGAAGGATGCACTCGTCCGTGTCATGCCCTGACTGCCGGTGGAATTTGCAGTACTTGTTGTGGTCTACCTTCGGGGATTTCTTCATGCACTCCCCCGGGTACTCCACAATCCCTTACCCTTCCGCATGCTCCAGGATTTTGCTGACGGGTTGCGTCAGCGGGGTGAGAAAACGCGTGGGGGTCAACCTGGGCCCCTCGGCGTACTCACGGCGGGGAGGCCTGGATGCCCGGCGGTCCTCTTGAGGGGCCTCGCGTCGGGGCGGCCTCGAACATCCAAAGGCTCCAGGAATGGGTATTAACTCAATATTTATAATTAATATGATTGAGAGTACAACTTAAAATATTCTCACATTAAATTACTACTATATATTTCAAAAAAAAAATAAAAATACTACTATAAGTTGACTAAGGAAGGATGATGACCAATATAATTATTTTTCCTTCTTCTTTTTCCCTACCTTGGTTCTAGCAACAGAAAAAAAAAAAATTCTCTTCTTCCTTTCTCTCCATTTCGGCACTTTTAAAGAAAAAAATAAATAAATTTCTCCTATTCTTTTTAAGAGTTGAAACAATCCACTCAAGTCTACAGGGGATTTGAATACCGAGGCTCAGGAAAAATATTGGAAGGGGAATTGCTTAACCGGTAAGTGGTTTTGTCCTCCATTACTTTGCCCTATTTTTTTTTCAAAATATATGAATTTTGTTGGTTAATGATTATGAAAATGTCTTAGTATATGGAATGATATAGTTTTCTTATGTGATTATTTGGAAGTATTTGTTGTAATACCTGTGATAAATTTCTTTGTATGAAATGCATGAAGAAAAAGAAATTTTAAAATTTATTTGTTTGATTTATTATGTATTATCGTATGTTTAGAAAAAAAAACTATATATATATATATATATATATATATATATATATATATATATATATATATAATAATGATGGAAAGTTTAAAATTGAAGTTAAATTTTGGGGTGATACAAAGAGTGTTGTAAATATTATTTTCATCTTTGTCTTGAAAAAATTGTTAAAATAACCTACTTAATTGTTATTGATTGTACATGTAATATGATATTTTAAATTTTGAGTTTAAAATTTAATCTTGTTCTTATATATAATAGAGTAAAAGACATTTTTGGTCCTAGACTTATAGTGGCTTGGACAATTTTAGTCCTTTATAAAAAAAAATTGTCATTTTATGGACAGAGTTATTGTGGCGAGGACATTTTTGGTCCTCTGTCTATATTTCTGTTAGATAATCGTATGAGAGAGGGGCAATTACGTCAATTTAGGCTATTTCTTTATTGTGAGATGGACGATTTTGGTCCCACAATCATGCCTTTACTATGATCCTCATTTATTTGTAGTTTTGCACTACGAAATGCTCTGCCCACAACCATGCCTTTACTGCAACTTGGACTCTCCGACTCCTTCGAATTATGACCGAGAAGAAAACAAAACACACATAGATATAATAGATAGAAGGAGATAGCCTAAATTGACGTAATTACCCCTCTCTCAGACGGTTATCTAACAAAAATATAGACGGAGGACCAAAAATGTCCTCGCCACAATAACTCTGTCCTTAAAATAGCAAAATTTTTTAGAGTTAATTACCAAAATGGTCCCTTGACTATAGCGAAATTACCAATTTGGTCCTTGACTATTTTTTTTTAACTAATTAAGTCCCTCAACTTTAAAATTTTTAACCAATTTGGTCCTCCGTTTGTTTGACCATTAGTCAATCGTTAACTTGGGACTAAATTGGTAATTTCACTATAGTCAAGGGACCATTTTGGTAATTAACTTTAGGGGTGGGCAATTCGGTTTAGTTTTCTCGAATCGAACCGTACCGAACCAATTGGTTCAGTAATTTACCGAACAACCGAATGGTATTGGATACTTGTATACTGAACGGTTTGATAAAAAACCGATCCGAATTGTTCGGTAAAAAATTGAACTGAACCGAATACTGTTTGATTTTTTTTTTAAATATAATAATAATAATAATAATAATAATAATAATAATAATAATAATAATAATAATAATAAATAAATAAATAAATAAATAAATAGATAAATAAATAAAAATTAAATCAAATTCCATTGCTGCTTGCTCTGCCGTTCAACTCATATTCTCACGGGTATCTCTCGTAAATGTTTGATTTGATTTCTTTATGGTTTGTTATCAAAAGTTCTCAAGAATCTATTACCGTTCGGTTGTTCGGTATATTACCGAATCTAACTAGTTTGGTACGGTTCAGTTCAAACAAACTAAATCGAATTGCCCACTCTTAAAGTTATTTACCAAAATGGTCCCTTGACTATAGAGAATTACCAATTTGGTCCCAAGTTAACGGTCAAACAAACGAAGGACCAAATTGGTTAAGATTTTTAAAGTTGAGGGACTTAATTGATCAAAAAAATAGTCAAGGACCAAATTGATAATTTCGCTATAGTCAAGGGACCATTTCGGTAATTAACTTATTTTTTTATACAGGACTAAAATTGTCCAAGCCACTATAAGTATAGGACCAAAAATGTCTTTTACTCTATATAATATTATATATTTTTGTGTTTTTTTTTTTTAATTTTATTGCAGGAAAGAATTTGAAAGAAGAAATACGCTACAAAATTTAAAGAAATTGCCCCCAAAACGTCCTCTGCGCCTCTGCGGCTTTGCTCTGCGCCTGCCTCGCCACCGCCCACCACTCGCCACCACCAGACTTCCTCCTGCCGGCGCCTCTGCCTCGCCAGCCAGTCGCCACCGTCTTCACCCTCAGTCCCTCAGGCTCACCGCCTCACTGAGTCACCGTCTCAGGTTCGTACTTCGTAGTCTCGTTCTCAACCCTTAGACTATAAATCTGAATTTCAATAATTTGTTCAATTGTTTGCTTTTGCGTTTTGAAATTATACTTTTGCCCTAATTTCTCTAATTTTTTTGTTTTCCCTAATTTTCTTAATTTCCCTAATTATGGTTTTGCCCTACTTTTGTTTGGTGCTGGTTTAATTTTTGTTGCTGCATGAATGTCTTCTATGAATGTTGTTCTACAGTTCTAGAGTCAGATGTATGAATGTTGTTTTTCCAGATATCCCATCGGAATAATTAGTTATTTCACTTTTTTGTCTGTTGCTCAATGTTAGTTATGTTAGTTGCTTACTTGCTTATATAATTTGTTTGCTGAAAATGTTAGTTTCTAATTTGAGTGATACAGAGCTCAGAAAATTGCAAAATAAAGTTCCATTTAGTTGGCAAGCAAATGTAGGACTCCATGGAAGATGGGAAGAAAAAGTGATATGGATTGCTACCATTGTTTTCTTTTTTTAATTATATTACTCTTATTAATTTGTAAGGGCATATAGGTCTTTATACTCGTTATTCCCTTACAATTCCAAATCTAACCAAACAATAGAATTAGTATTCCCAGTAATTCTTTTTCCACCAACCAAACAATGAAATTCATCTTCCTAGTAATTGTTAGTAATTGTTTTTCCATGGAATTTCAATTCCACTCCCCTTAAAATATTTTCCGCGAACCAAACGAGCCCTTAGAAATTAGAATCACATGAATTATATGTTAACCATGTTTTCTTTGTTTTGGACTTCCTTAATTAGTGAGTTAAAATATCATTTGTTATTTGTCTTGAGTTTCCAATTGAGGAGTACTTGCATTTTCCTTTTTCAGAAATTAGTTAATGTTACTATGTTAGTTGCTTATTTGGAATAATTAGTTAATGTTAGTTGCTTATGTTATTTGTTTGCGGGATATTTGGTTCAGTTATTTGTTAGTTGCTTATGTTATTTGTTATGGACATTTTACCTTTGCTTCTTCGCCCCCACGCAAAGTAAATCCTGGCTCCGCCCCTGGCAGAGACAATGTGTAACCATAACAATCTTTGTTATTCCAACAAATTCAGTACATTTACAAGGCATATATATAATTTTATTACAATAATAACGGAAAGTAATAATGGCAGACATAAGTACGAGGACCATTACAACCGTTACACAATCCAATCATAATGTCCATACTTTAATAATATTTATAACAATTTTTAATTTTTAATCAAAGTTGACTTGTTAGTTGTTTTATTGTTTGATTACTTGAAATTAGTTGCTGATCAAAGTCATTTTATAAATTGAATTAGTCAGGCACGATTTTATTGATTTAATCATTTAATTCCATCAAATGTTATCATTTTTATGCACTTGACCTCCTATCAACCACATGGATTGACACTGAAATTTTCACTTAATCTATAAATCTTACCGAATCGATATAAGTGTTTGAACACAAAATGTAAGTGCAAAGGTTTCTGTGTTGAACTAACATGCTGCAACAGCCAACATGGACATGTGGAGAACTACTTGTCTCGGGGTTCTAAAATTACACTTTATTTATTTATTTATTTTGCTGCTAAAACATTTCATGTTTAAGCCCTTTGACTTCATATAAGAGACTTTTGTCAACTAGTTTTAGCCATTTTAGTGAGGCTATAATCTTTATTTTGCTTCGTATTATGCAATTTAAATATTACTATGAACACTTTGTCATGAATTTAGTGAGGTTATGTTATTATTCATCCTTGTAGGACAATTTGTTGCCATTGTTTGGGGTATTGTAAATTGTTGTGCACATATTTATCAATTATATTGTAGATATTCATTAATCAATTAAAGTTGTAATACATTGTATTTGTTGTTTCTAGAACAATAACAAAAGGACTTTTATTATGTAACGAAATATACTAGGGAAGAAGCGGAGTTACTTCCAGTAAAAAGTCTTTCCATTTGCACTCTGAGTTCTCATAGCCAACAAGGCAACAACTTCCGCTTTCCCGTAGTCTCCGGCATTGTTTGCAAAGGTTGAACTTCTCGGCTGATAAGAGTGAATTAGTAATGTTCTATCTGAGCGAAATTGAGCATACTTTGAGATTACCTCCCCATCTCCTCAATCTTCCACTTAATGAAGCTATCAAGGGAGAGCTTGAGGGTCTCTTTGTAGACAAGGTTTCCATTTCTTCTATTTTTGTCTTGGTTATTGCACAATTCATGATTCTATTTTCTTCTTATTTATTGAGAATTATGGTATTTAATTTAATTTATGCAGGTTATTGCACAATTAGGGCTTTGTATATCTGTATATGATATTCGCTCCATTGATGGTGGTTTTATTTTCCCGGGAGATGGCGCCTCTACATATACGGTATTATGTGTTGATGAGCGATGATTGAATTTTATTTTTCTCTATCTTTGTTTTTTTGGATAATAGTTTTCTAGATTAATTGAAGTACTAATTTATTTTGATTATGTGATATCAATTTGGGTTTATGCATTAGGAATTTTTTCCTAGGAATTATCATTACAGTAATACATTCTAGAAGATATTGAGAAATGGTAGGAATATACTTTTAGCATGATGATAAGTGATGTTAATAGATTATCAATCTGTAGCTAATCCTCTGTCCTCACCATTTAGCTTTATTTATTTATTTATTTCTAAATCTGTGATCATAATAAACATGGTTTTGTTGCAGGTGAAATTCAGATTGATAATCTTTCGCCCGTTTAGGGGCGAGGTAATAGCAGCAAGGCTGATTGAATCCAAAGAACATGGTTTACGCTGTATGGGTTACAAACGCATTAACAATATGATTCCATTCTTATTGCATGCGGATATATGTTACTTTACTTACAAAATGGTTGCTACTTTATTTACGGATCGACTCATTGATTCAATTTGATAATGTTTTTCTCTTTCAAGGAAATTTCTTTTAAAAACATATGCAAAAGTATATTACTTATATGGTCTATATGTAGTGTCTTAACCTATGCTTTCTACCTTGCTATTTGGAGATATGTTTTGAGCCTGGCAATTACTTCTAAGGGAGCTAGTATTCTAATGTGTATTCTATACAATTGTGTTTTGTAGTATCGCTCGGATTTTTTGATGACATCTATGTACCAGCCATTTTGATGCCGAATCCTTCACATTCTGAGCCTGATCCTGAAAGCAGGTACATATTTATTCTTTGAAACTATCTTGTAGGGTGATCTTTGGAGTGCAAAAATCTGATCAAATAATAAAATATTCTTTTGTTGATAATAAACTATATTTTCCATTTTACCATTTTAGGAACCAGGTCAGGTGGATATGGGAGTATGAAGGAGAAAAATATCCTATTGATGGTACAGATGAGGTTGTGATACTATCTAATTTGATGCCTTCTTTACCTCCCTCATTTGTTATGGAATTTACATGAATAAAATTGATTATTATTGCCACAGATTAGATTTCGAGTTCTCGAAATTAGCTATCCATCATTACCTTTAAATCAAGATAAAGATGCGAAGCCATTTGCTCCTATGGTGATCACGGTATGTCAACTACGAACTAATGGACTACCACCCGCCATTTGTTCTTTAGTGTTTGCCAAACTTGATTTTTGTACGTTGACTTGATGTTACAACTTACAAGTCTAAATTTGAAAAAGAAATCGCAACCTATCTAGTCTAGGAATAACGTTTTCCTTGTTGAAGTGTCAATGATGTATTAATTTTAGTGTTTATTTGAAACTGGCAGGGATCACTTGATGCGGATGGTCTGGGTCCCGTTTCATGGTGGGTGTGAAGTAACGGATATAGGAAAGGTTTTTTGAGAGGATTGATGATCTTCCATTTTCCATGCGATTTGAGAGCATTCCCTTTTAAGTTTAAAATGGAGGTTGTCGTCATTTTAGATAGGGGTGTCAAAGTGGATCGAAGCCCGCAGGTCGATCCTAAACTGCCCACAAAGGCCCAAGAAATTAGCTAATTGGTTTTAGGTGATCGTGGTTAGGAAAATTATAAATCTAAACTTGACTCCTAGGTAATGTGTTTTGCATACCAAATCAAAATGTCTGCAATTTACATAAAGCTCTTATTCTTCTAAGAACTAATGACAGCATAGTTGTATGCTTGTACCGAAAGTTCCTGGAAAGCTGATTACCAATCTCTATGATTTGTTCTTACATTCAATGATGCATGGCATTATGCCTTTGGGCCTTTTAGTTTTATTTGATTGCAGGAGCCTTCTGCTATAATGTTTTCAAGGAACAGGTAACATTGAAATGAAAATTCATCATGTAACCCCAACTTAATTCTTGGGTGACAAGGGAAATCCTCATCTACTATTGGTAAACCAACCTAGGTTGTCCCTAACCTGCTTAAACCAAAAAGATATAGGTTATTTCTATTGGGAGTCGAACTTGTAATCTTGTTGTTATCAAGTCAACTAATTTGACCAACTTAGCTAAGGTTGCTCCGACATCAACTTTATTTTGAGACTACAATTAGTAGTTTGCAGGTTGATTTGCCAATAGGCAAAACTGTAAATATGTTGGTGAGGTTGGGTATCGTGGTTGCTGAAAATAGTGTGGATGGAGATGAAGTTTTGCGCATTATCCCTTGCCTTCAAGCACGGTTAGATTCTTAAGCAACGTTGAAATTCCTTGGTTCGTTGATCCTTCTTCTTACCTCAAATACTGCCCATTAAACCATTGAGCTAAGCCTTTGCGGGTACGTTGATCATTCTTTTTTGCTTATCATATCGTTATTGCTAGTACCGTCAAAGTGGGCCGAAGCCTGCGGGTTGACTTGCCCTTGCCCCATGGTGGAGTGGGTTAGGGTTATGAAAAATAAGCCCGTGAAAATGCGGACCTAACGGGGTGGGCCGGAATTGACCCGCAACCCACGCGGGTTAGTCCGCGAGCCAAATCAGTTAACACTTACGGATACGGCATACGGAGTAAGTAAGATTGTGGCTTCTTATTTAGTGCACTCGTTAATATATATATACATATATTATTATATATCATATATTTGTTAGTTACTACTGTCTAGTGGCTTACTACATTCAATCCATTCATTATTATATATAAATATATAAATTAATATATATATATATATATATATATATATATATATATATATAACTTTGAATTATTTAAAAAAAAAAAAAAAAAGTCCGCGGGGCCGAGTGGGTTAGGGTTGCATGAACCCTAGCCCACGGGCCTATCGGGCCAACCCGCAAAAGCTCGTTAGAAATTAGGCCTGTGGTGGGGTGGACGGGCCCGCTTTGACAGTATTAGTTATTGCGTTACGGATTTCAGGTGCATATGAATCCCCTTGTAAACTGTTGAAGCACAAGTAGATTACTATTGAAGCACAAGTAGATTACATATGAATCCCCAATGGCTTACTATTAGCTAAATAGCCCAATCTGCCCAACACAGCAAATTTTACTGTGGACTACGGTCCACAATGTATTGTAGTCCAGACATCAAAACGATGTCGTTTTGTTTAATGAAAAGGAATGGCACCTGTTTTGCGTCGTTTTGTAAAAAATAATTCTGTTATTCAGTTTCATTTTGTATACAATGCAGTTTCATTTCAACACAACTACAATATCATTTTTATTCAGTTTCATTTTGTATACACTGCAGTTTCATTTCAACACAACTACGGTTTCAGTTCAATTCAATTGCAGTTTCATTTGATAATATAAAAATAATACGTGAGGTAGTATCAGTTTAAATACACTGTAATTTCATTTGATAATTAACACATAAAAAATACGCACTCCGTTAAGCTGTAACAACTGCCGTTTCTTTATTTAAAAAACACGATGTCATTTTTGGACAATGATCCACAAAGCTTTGTGACCGCGGTCTACCGTATAATTGCTTGCCCAATCTATCTATATCTATATCTATCTATATATATAAAAGTAAAATCCTCCTAACAAATTTTTTCCCCAAAACTTTTGTAGTAAACTTATTTGGTAAGTAAATGTCAAATGGAAATTAAATAAATAATCTATATATATATATATATATATATATATATATATATATATATATATATATATATATATATAAGTAAAATCCTCCTATTTCATTTTTCCGCCCAAACTTTTGTTGTAAAACTTATTTGGTAACCAAATGTAAAATAGAAATTAATTAAAATTTATTAATTGATAATATTGTTTCCATATTCACGTATTAACCTAATTGGTAAATCTATTAATTGATAATATTTTTTCCTTATATTCATTTATTCATTCTTTTATATTGAGTAATTATATATAGAGATATAGATATGTATACTAACATACAACTATTACGGCTTCAATGTTTATTCTTGCCCAGGATATTTCTCCATTGAAGACTGGCAGAGCTATTAGACTGCAATTGGTGTGCACCTATATGAAGTCACATAGAGAAAGGGGAGTGAATCCGTAAAATCTAGAGAGTGCATGTTTCACGATCAAGAGGTTTTTTTTTTTTTTTTTTTTCTTTCAATTTTGTTTTTTTATACGACTCCAATGTTTATTATTGCCTAGGATATTTCTCCATTGAAGACTTTCAGAGCTATTAGATAGTGATTGGTGTGCACCTATATGAAGTCCCATAGAGAAAATGGGGTGATTTCATAAAATCTAGATAGTGCACATTTTCCTATCAAATGGTATTTATTTTCGATTTTGCTTTTTTCTAGAACTCGTGTTGTATATGAAATTGGGAAAAAGATGCATTACAAAGCTGCTTCCTATACTGCAAAAATAAATTACAAAATAACAATTTTCTTTTTTACCAAGGGAACATGTTGGTAAATACTGTAAGCTTTTCAAACAATGAAAAGTTTATGCCATTAAAAATTTTATGGTGATAAGTAATTTCTATATTTTCAAAAAATGCACTCATTATTTTATGTTGTAATTTCACTATGCTACTGTGGTTGTTCTTATGCAATTGTGTAGAGTTAAGAATGATACGAAGAGTTAATCTAAACACAAGTGTTTTAATTTTTCTTTATATTTGAAAGTGTTTGAATAAGGACAAGTAATGAATGTTCTTTTTGATTAGCCAGTTATGTCAAGATATGTAACTCTTGATACACAGTTCCTTTTCAATCAGGATTTCCAGAGTTTTATGATTTTTTGGAAATGTAAATTTATTATGTCTTAATCATTATCATAATGTTTTTATCATTTATTTTTGTACATATTTTGTTTATGATTGTCATTTTTTTTTTCAGTTTATGTGTTGATTAGACCCCTCTAATAAAAATTATGGATATTTATGAGATGATCGAGGTAAACAATAGCAACAATTTTTTTTTTTAAATTGATACAGTGGCAACAAATTATAAAATCATCTTTTGCCACTTTTTAAAATGATTTATTAGTATAAATTGTCACACTTTAAAATGTATTTTTAATGTTAATAAATAAATTAGCTTAAAATAATACATTAAAATCTAAAGGATAAGCAAAGTATAAAATAAAGCCAAAGTTGTACATGTTTGCAAAGTGATGGAGCACTGTAATAGTCTTAGTGCATCCAAATAAAGGCATCATTTAACTGATTATTTCTTTCTTATCTCACACTAAAGGTTCAATACTGCAGATATATATAAAGTATTAGTAATAACATTGGTACGGCTAAATGTGTATATAACTAATTATTTATTGATTTAGGATTAAAGAGTGCCCTATATGATCTTCCAGATATATTAATTATATTCTTTAATATAATAATATTTTTGATAACATTATTGTTTGCAAATTCTCCGTATTTTTTTATATATTTATAATACCGTGTAGAAAAGACATTAATTAATTAGGTAATAACATAATAGCATAATTGGTAATATTATGTATGGTATTACAGTGTAGAATTTTTGGATGTTTATCACCAACTAATTTAATACAACTTATTTTGTAAGCAAATGTAAAGTAGAAAGCAACTAAAATCTTAGTAATATTGTTTCCATATTCAATGCTCTCACGTAACATAATACCCTATATAACAAATTTAAACAATTTATAATATAGCCAATTCATCATCATATATGTATGTTACAACCTCACGGTCAAATCTATACTATAATTAAAAACAAAATCCTATTTACTTGATTTCCTGTCCAAACAATAGTAAATAGTAAAGGTAAATTAAAAAAATGAAAAAAGGAACATAAATATTTCACAATAATATTCTACATCATCAATTAAAAATGGAATGGAAATTAGGTAAATTGGAAAAAGAAATGAATATTAATAATTTACTGAAAATTAAAAATGAAAAAAAAGGAATTGAAGTTAGGTTAATTGGAAAAGGAAATGAATATTAATAATTGACTGAAAATAAAAATGAAACATAATTGACTAAAATGGAAAAGGAAATGGTCAGATCATTTCAATTTAATTTTTCACAATAATATTATATAGTATAATACATCAAATCACAATTATGTCATAAATCTTTCACAATTTTAAACAATGAAATGAAAATTAAAAATAGAACAAAAATATTTTAATAATAATATTCTACATCATCAAGTAAAAGTAAATTAAAAATGAAAAGGAAATATTTAAATAATAATATTCTACATCATCAATAGTAAATGCATATTTTAAACAATAGTAAAGGTAAATTAAAAATGAAACTGGAATATTTCAATAATAATATTCTACATCATCAATTATAAATGGAACGAAAATTAGGTAAAAATATCATTGCATCTGATATTCTAATTGACTAATTGAATGAAAAAAAAAAAGAATAATTGGCTGAAAATGAATATGACATTACAAATTGACTGGAAATATAAAAAGAAATGAATACTAATAGTTGACTGCAAATAAAAAATGATCCATAATTGATTAATATGAAAAAAATAAATGGTTAGATCATTGCATTTTAATTAAAAATGGAACAGAAACTAAAATATGACGGAAATATTTTAATAATAATTCTACATCATGAATAGTAAATGTATATTTTAAACAATATTAAAGATAAATTAAAAATGGAACGTAAATATTTCAATAATAATATTATACATCATCAATTAAAAATTGAACAAAAATTAGGTAAAAATATCACTGCATATGATATTCTAATTGACTAAAAATATAAAAGAATAATTTGCTGAAAATGAATTTGATATTACT